GATCTGTGTCGATGATCGTTGTTTCATGACTAAGAGCTGAGAGTGTTCTTGACTTCGGTCCAAAAACGTCTTTAAAACAGATTAGAACAATTCAGACCTCTCTCTCTCTCTCTCCCTCTCTCACTCCTTTCTTTTCTCTTCGTCTGTTTTCTTCCCTCTCTTTGTTCATCAGGGCGTTAGTTGTGACGGACCTGGAATGAAGAGAATTTTGGTTTTCATGTTTCTGTGTCAAAACTCTGAACCTAAAACAGCATCTTTCAGTTTTTTCGTTGTTTCTCTTTGTAACTGATTTAATAAAAGTTCAATAATCATAAACCTTCAGTCTTTCTTTCTTTATCCCGGTTTCTCTCAGATCCAGAGTCTAATAATCTTAATCTCTAATAATCTTAATCTGTAATAATCTTAATCTCTAATAATCTCTGCTCTCTTGGATGTCCGACCAACAGAAACAGACAAAAATAATCATTTTCAGATAAAACTGCGTCTCTCCCAGTACATGAGAAAAGAGAAAACTTCACTTACAATGAATAAAATATATATTAGTGTCTCATTGATGAACATCCAGTGTAACAAACAGGAAGTAAAAGCTTTTCTGATGTTTGCTCAGAATTGAAAACAGAAAAATTTACTCTGTCTGCTTCTTTCACACCGGGAGCGTTTTTTCGTGCGATTATTTCGGACGTCAGTATTTTTTTTATCCTGTCAACACAAGCGTTCAGATCAGCGACGTTTTCCCGTTCTACGATATCGCAGCATTTAGAATCAGAATCAGAGTTTTATTGTCATCATACGCAGTAAATGAGATTAACCCACATCAGCGGATCACGGTGGATTTTTCTAAACACAAACATTACAAAGATAACGACCTGAAGGACGACTTGTGGAGACGATGGTTTGTGAGCTTTAACAGTTTGATAAACGTCTTTGTTTTAACTTTCATCTGTGCTAACGTAACTTTAGCTCTAAGCTAACCTGTTCAGATACAACAGACCATCTGTATTTTCACTGTAAACTCAGTCACAGCTCCATCAGGTCTCTGTTGTTCCCTTACGTTTATGGATATGGTTGGATTATAGTTTCATGTGTTTATCTGGTTCTGACCCGACTCAGTCCATCATGACAGACAGACATCAGAACTGGAAACACTCAGTCTGCTGTTGGATCAGTCTTCTCACTGAAGACCAGGGACGTGTCTTTTTCCCCCTGAAAGTCTCAAAGTCGAGCATAATTCCGCGTCGTTCCCAGTGTGTAAGGACAGTAAGACGTAAACAAGTGCCCCAAAAAAGTGTCCTCTGGACACTCTTCCAGGATAATTCTGTCTGGATTCCCTTCTAGTTTCCTTTAGATGCTCCTCCAGTAAACTGAGCATCAGTTTCCTCTCAAGTGTTAAAACTAAAAAAGTCTCTCCAGTACAAAATAAAAGACGGTAAAGTTCGCTCTGAATGTTCAGAGGTCTGGATCCTCCTCCAGTATCGATAAAGTGTCCTCTGAACGTCCATCCAAACCATTTTGTCCTTTAATCGTCTCGATAACAAAAACACGTGTTTGTTCGTTGTGTTTGTTTCAGTTCGCAGTTTTGTGTTTTCATCGGTCTGAAAAAGTCGTCATAAATTTCGTTGACGTAATCAGAGCTGGAGTTGGGGAGGGTCTATCACCCGTCACCGGGTCAGCCAACAGGAGAGACTTCCCACTGTGACGGGGGTTTGAACCGTCAACCTCGGACCACTCTGAGGAAATCGAAGGCGTGTGTGAAAACACTCCAGTGATGACGCGAGGCTTCAGCTGAGACATGAGGACGATGTCTCTGATGGACTCTGCGGCTCCTCGCTCTGCATCATCTGACCGTTTTTTTTTTTTGTTGAACTTTATAAACGTCTCAGACGTCTTTTTTCCCGGGACAGAACTTTGCAAACGTTTCTCATTTTGAAGGACAGCCTCGGGTCCTGTCTGTTGGCTCGTGGCTTCCTCTGCTCTGCACACTCTGAATAACAACGACAGTACGAACATGTGGTGATGCAATCTGCTTCAGCTGCTCTGTTTCCTGCCGGTCTGCGGGGATTTACCACAGCTCAGTCTCAAGCCAAAGACTCGCAGTTTTCATCTCCGAGAGGAACTTTAGGGTCCGATGAGAAAGACATTTAAATTCCTCCAGATACGTTCAAAAGTAAACGTGAAGCATTTCAACCGACACTCACTTTGGACCCGCCCAGAGAGCCGAGTTACAGCTGCAGGTGCATGAAGATATCTTCACACCAAGACCGAACCCTGAAACTACACCGAGATATAAGCTTCTCCAGGTGGGCTTCACATCCCCAGAAGAAAACAAATTCACCAAAAACAGACTCCACGCTGCGAGGAGTAACTCAGGAGCACATGAAGATCATTTACTGATGCTAACTCGACTTTTACAGCCGATTCAAACCGGCTGACGTCTTCACAGTTCGGTCATTAATGTCACCAGACAGGAGGAGCTTCTGTCCACGTCTGTTTCAATTAACTC